ATTTACTTTATTTATGTATTACAGTATTCAGAAAGTGCTCTTAGTACTAGTGTTGTAGTTGAGCTAGCAGCTCCGACAAGCATTCTGGTGTCTATGAGCAACACCAGACCTAACCGTAGCAGTGTTGTGTAAAATGACAATATTGTCGTCAACTCTGAATATAGCAAATGCAGTTATCACCGCGACCATTCTTTTACTAGCACAGAATAGGAACAAAGACTGAGCAACTTTAGTTTGATGTCTCCTCTCTGTCTTCTGTTATCACACTTAATAGACTACATTTAGTAGTGTTGTGATAAATATTTGTTATAATTACTTATCACTGGTTAACATGAAATATACCTCATATTGACAAAAATAATGATTTTTAAGCAGTTAAAGCAGTTTTTGCATCTAGTATGCTTAACTAAATTATGTGTGCATTCTTTTTTAAGGCTTGTTTCTGGAAACATGATCGGATATTGTTTCTTTTTTTATGCAGAACTTCTGAGGAAGTAATAGTCAGTGTTATTTAAAAAACAACTTGACCATGCAAATTATCTTACTTATTTAGCCATGTGTTTCTTTTTTTCCAGCACACATATGACAACTTAGAATCTGTCAAAGTCCTTGTAACCACTTTTATAGATGAGAAAGAGATTTGTAAAAAAAATTCTTAATGTCAGCAGTGCCAAAGACATCATAGGTCAAAGCCAAGCTCAGCACATGGGCTGTGTGCTGAGCTAGATAGGCTGCTAAAGTATAACACTGATTTCATGGAATATATTGATGTTGACAGTAAGGTAGACATTAAGGACTTTGATAGATTCCATATCTTCCTGTCAGCCAGAGGGCCACCAATGAAAACCTCTCTTGGGGAGATTAGACAAAATCAGGTATACTTTGCATTTCTCCAGTTTTCTAAGTCATAAAATGTGTTTTAACAGTTATTAACTATTAGTCAGGATCAGATTTGTTCACCAATTAGCAACTATATGATAAAATCAATTTAATTATTATTCAGAATTTCTTTTAGTCATTGCGTTATAATCACGGTAATTAAGAAACCACCTTCGTCTGCTGCAGCTTTTTGAGTAAACTCACACTTCTATGCTCTGTGAAAATTTGCTGTCATGGCTTTGAAGATTACTGCAGAGAGGTACAGTGTCTGGTGTTGCCTTTACACAGTCTACCATTACCACAGAAGAACAAAGTCAACCCCTAAAGTCACTACTCAAGAGGAAAGCCCCACAGATTCTTAAGGAGTATGAGACTACAGGTACCCTGTCAGTGGCATCAAGGAAGCTTCTTGTGAAGACTTGCATTGGGGATTTGGTGGAGAGGTGTGGAGAGTAAGTATAGCACCTTACTGCACTTTGTTAAATTTTTGCAGTGAATGTTTCCCTTTAAAAATGTTGAAGTGCACAGAAGTAAAAAAGGTTACTTCTGTTTTCCAGTTACCAAGTAAAATTCAGGGTGGTATCGACGATACGGATCCAATATGGATACAAAAACGTATTTTTTTTACTGTATCTTTTATTGTATCTCAAATTATAGCTTCATAATGATTACAAGACATCAGATTACTTGTTCTTATCACTTAATAATTCCCTATCCATTATGCTAGCAGTGTCCAAGCATTCTTTCTTTGGTTTTCTTTTCTTTTCATACATAAGCTAGGAGCTGTGTATTTTACCTTGAAGAATTTGCCACCAGAGTGGAAATCCTCACTTACAAATATTCACCTGTGTCTTTTGTTCAACTCAATTGACAGGGAGGTATATAGATTTGACAAGATTTTGCAACCACTTCTTGATGACTTGAGATTTCTTGAAAATTCTGGTCTAAATGTGGATTTAAAAGGTCATAGCCATCAACTATATGGTACAGTTTGTGTGTTAACAGCAGAGATGGGCAGTAACGTGTTACTTATCAGGAACATGTAAGCTTAAACGAACCAAGCAAAACTGGTGTGAAAGAGGAAAGAGGTTAAATTAATGCTTCGTCATTTCATTTATGAGGAGAAGTTGATGACTTTGGAACAGCTAAATGAGAGGATTTCCAGTTTTCAATATGGATATGGAGACATTAAAAACAAGTCAAGTGTTATAATGAGCTTGAGAACCAGTGAGAGTGTGTTAAAACAGACGGCATCTCAAATGTGGTGCTTTTTACTGGTCTTGCCCTTTTTGTTGGGAGATTGTGTAGACCAAAAAAGTCAACATTGGCATTTATTGATTTTACTGAGAGATATGCAGTATCATCTTTGCACCAGTCATTACAAGAGGGCTTGCAGTATTCCTAAAGAACTGATAGTAGAGCACCATACTCTTTTCAAACACCTTTATGCCACAAATCTTATTCCGCAACATCATTTTATGATACATTATCCAAGGATGATGGTTTTATTTGGACCTCTGTTTGTTTTGTTTGGACCATCTGACCTCAGGAAATCACATGAAAGGGTGGAGCCAGGTTTCACATGAGCTCACCCGAAACCCTGGCTGATTGTGACCCACACCCGTTTTCACACCTTGGCTCATGTGATTAGGTAGAGGATCATCAGGGGGTCCTTTTGTCCCCCTTGAGGGGTTACTCCCACTGGGACTAGCATATTCAGTTTGTAACTTCAAAAATGTGTCCAAAACATTGGCTTTTAAACATCAGGTTTAACACATGTATTGCTATAAGCATAGTGATAATCTAGCTAAGAAAATGGATGTCTCCAATCCCTATCTAGTTAGTGTGGGGTCACTAGAAAAAGCAGATGTCTGTTGTTAGACAACTTGAGGTTAACCCTTGAACAAGACCTTTCTCTGACTAGTACTATTTTGTGTCACACAGTATTGATGTATACGGAGAGACTATAGAACTGGTTCCGTATTGACACTAAGAAGAGACCTTTGTTTGGTGAAGTCATTCATATCTTGCCACAGTCAGTTAATGAGTCTGTCTTCATGTTTGTGAGGATTCTGAAAGTCAGCTTCTTTGATGACCATTTTTATGCCTAAGCAGTGGAAAGGTCAAACTAATATGAACTGATAACACTGGCTGAAATTTTTTATTTTCGGCCTTTATATATAGTGACAAGCTTTGATACTGTAGTGTCCCTCCGACAGAAGACAGAGACAATCAGTGTTCCGGTTACCGGTGTTTATTAAGAATAGTAACACAGAACGCCAAAACAACAGGGAAAAAACGTGCTCTCCAGAATCAAAGCAAACCCCCCGACTCTCTCCTTTTTTCCGCACACACCCACCACAACACTCTCTAACGCCCGAGCCCCAAACACTCTCAGCCAACCACACGCATGCTCTCCTCCAGACTCTCTGTCATTGGTAGCTGATCTGATTGACAGGCCAACCGGCCTCTAGACTACTACACATTCAAGGACACTCAGTAAATCACCATGCTGCCGGTGTGGTCCAACTATGCCATGAGTGGCAATTCTGAACACAAAACACTGATAACACAATAGTCAATTAACTTGTAACCCAGTGTGTTACAATACTAATTTAAACCCAAGGTACAAAATTGTATAACCTGGATGCTATATTTGCCAAAATGTAAATATGTTTTTCTGTTTGCACGCAACTTCACATTTGTTGAATGTTGACAATTTGTTGAAGATGACAACTGTTACCTTTTAAAAACTTGCATTCATGTATTGTCTGGACATGATTATATCAGAACACACACACACACACACACACACACACACACA